AATGAAAAGATAAACCAAAGACTTGGAGAAAAATCTTTGTAAAACACATATTCATAAAGGACTTAGATCCAACTATACAAAGTTTTTAAAACTCGACAAGAGAACAAACAGCCCTGGCCAGTGTGCTCAATGGTTAGAGCGTCAGCCCACGGACCAAAGGGTCACAGGTTCAATTCCCAGTCAAGGGCACGTACCTTAATTGCAGGTTCGATCACCAGCCCCAGAAGGGGCATGTGCAAGAGGCAACCAATCGATGTGTCTCTCTCACATTGATGTTTCTCTCTCTCTCTCTCTCTCTCTCTCTCTCTCTCCCCCTCCCTCACTCCCTTCTGCTCTCTCTAAAAATAAAAATAAAAATAAAAAAATCCTCGGGTGAGGATTAACAAGAAGAAGAAACAACCCAATTTAAAAATGGGCAAAAGATTCAACAGACAAAAAAAGAAATATACAGATGACAAATAAGCACATGAAAAGATGCTCAACATAATGTCTTTAAGGGAACTGCAAATTAAAACAATCATGAAATACACATCTACTAGACTGGCTAAGATCCCAAGAAGTGACAACACCAAATGCTGATGAGACCACAGAGCAACAGGGACTCTTGCTCATTGCTGGTGGGAATGCAAATGGTGCAGCCATTATGGAATACAGTTTGGGTTTCATGCGAAAGTAAACCTGTTCTTACCATAAGATCCAGCAATCGCACTTGGTATTTACTCAAAGAAGTTAAAAACACGTCCACACAAAACGTGCACATGAGTGTTTGTAGCAACTTTATTCATAATTGTCCAAAACTGAAAGCCACCAAGGAGGCCTTCAGCGGCTGACTGCACACCTAAGCTGCGGTGCATCCAGACAAGGGAATGTTATTCAGAGGTAAAAAGAAATGAGCTATGAAGCCACAAAAAGACATAGAGAACACCTAGAAGCATATTACGAAGTGAAAGAAGCCAGTCTTAAGAGGCTGCACAGCCTGATTCCAATTAGATGACATCCTGGGAAAAGCCCAGGGACAGTACAAAGATGAGGGCGTCCAGGGTTTAGGGGGAGGAGGGTGAATAGGTGAAGCCTACGCGATTTTAGGAGGCGAAAGGATTCTTTACGTTGCTATATTGGTGCACACAAGCCCTTCTGCCTCTGCACACCCATAGTACTGTGCAGAGAAACAGTGACCTTAGTGTAAACACAGACGTTAACCAATAACAATGCCCAGATAATGGCTCACTAATTGTAGCAAATGTACCACATTAATGCAAGATGTTAATGGCGAGGGAAGTTGTGTACAGGGGAGAGGATTCATGGGCACTCTCTGAACTGTCGGTTTTTCTGTACATCTACAATGGTAAATTTTTAAATTAATTTTTATTAATTTCTTAAACCTGAAGGATAGGCTTAAAAACAAGGGAGTGTGTCGTGACGTCATGTGAGGGGAGCCTGTGCTGAGGGAATACTTGGGAGGCCCCCGGGTTGAGGGCCTGAGGCTTTACTAGTTTGGGGCCTCCGGGCCCCTCTCCGAGGACAGGGACTGTGTGCAGAATGACAGGCCTCATTCACTTTGTTCTCTCTCTGCGGCCTCAGGACGACGCCCTGTTTGCTTTAACTCTTAATTTTGACACAATTCCAGGCTCACAGAAAAGTTTCAAGAAAAGTGCAAATCATCCGCATAGTCCCTTCCCCCAGGTTTCCCAAAGGTCTTCACACTGACCACATCTGCTCTGTGCTTTCCTGAGGTTTCAGGTTCCGCCTCCTTTTCACACCCGAGCAAACCGCTCCGGCTCCTTCCTCTGCCCGGTCTGGCAGGAGCAACAGTGAGCATGGGCTGCGCCTCGCCGGGCCAGGCCGTCCTGGCATTCCCACCTCCTGCATCCCTGCACCTCCGCAGCCTCCGAGGGGCGCCGTCGTCACCCCACCCTGCCGGCTGGACGCTGGGGCCCGGGGCCTGGCGGCCCTGCCCGAACCCCTCGTCAGCGCTAGCAGAGTTGGTGTGCGAGTGGGGGCCAGCGAGGACAGGGCAAAGACGCACCTAAAGGCTCAGAAAACAGGGAGGGAGCCCAGTGTGGGGACAGTCGGCCCAGGCCACACTTGCCCAAACTGAGACTTCTGCTGTCGCGTCCAGATGAGAGTGGGCGCCAACTCAGACACACCAGGCCTGGAGGAAAGAAGGTTCCTACTGCACAGAAGAAACCCACAGCGTTCATTCTAAACTGCCCGGGTTCAAATACCGACTGTGTGGGTGTCCGAGTGTGAGAGTGAGGGAGCGGGAGTGTGTAAGGGAGTGGTGCGTGTATGAGTTTGAGTCTGTGTGGCTGCGAATGTAAGTGTGAATGTGCGGGGTGTGTGGGTAAGTGTGAGCGGCTCTGAATGAATATGTGTGCTGTGTGAGGACCTGAGTGTGTGAATGTGAACACAGCGGTGAATAAGTGGAATGTGTGTGAGTGCGAATGTGTGTGGATATACGAGCATATGAGTGAAGTGTGTCTGCGATGTGTGAGCATATGAGTGAATGTGCCAGTGTGAAGGTGTCAGGGCAGGTGAGTCTGTGTGTGTGAGTGCGTGTATATGTGTGTGAGTGTGAAGGTGTGTGAGTGTGAGTATATGAGTGAATGTGCCAGTGTGAAGGTGTCAGGGCAGGTGAGTCTGTGGGTGTGAGTGTGAAGGTGTGTGAGAGTGTGAAGGTGTGTGAGAGTGTGAAGGTGTGTGAGAGTGTGAAGGTGTGTGAGTGTGTGAGTATATGAGTGAACTGTGAGTGTGAAGGTGTCAGGGCAGGTGAGTCTGTGGGTGTGAGTGTATATGTGTGTGAGTGTATATGTGTGTGAGTATATGAGTGAACTGTGAGTGTGAAGGTGTCAGGGCAGGTGAGTCTGTGGGTGTGAGTGTATATGTGTGTGAGTGTGAAGGTGTGTGAGAGTGTGAAGGTGTGTGAGTGTGTGAGTAAATGAGTGAATGTGCCAGTGTGAAGGTGTTAGGACAGGCGAATCAGGGTGTGAGTGAGAGTACACGTGAGTGAGTGTGAACAGGTGTGAGCTTTTCTAGGCAGGAGCAAACCCTTCTCAGTGCCCGGGTGTGACCTTGGTAAAATCCATGTCCGATGGGAGTTCCCACCTGACCTGTGCAGTTCACACCTTGTCTGCCAGTTCCTACTCCCTCTGGAAGCCCAAGCCCCCAGGTCCGTCCTAGGACCCCTCTCCTGTCCCCTCACAGAATTCATTACACTCAATTGCTTGTTCTATTTACTTGTCAGGGCCCTAGCCAGACCCCCAGGGCTAGGAAAGCAGGGACTGGATCTATTTCTCACTCTCCCCAGCCCCCAGCTCAGGACCTGGCTCATGGAGGTGTCAGTAGATGCTGAATAATGTAGTTTTTCCAACTCCCTTCCCCCACCCCGCACCATGGCTCCCCTCCAAGTGTTTGCTCCTGCAGCCCCCTCCATCTGAATGCCTGTCCTTTCCCTCCCTCTTCACTGATCCTTGGAGGCATCCATCAGAGGCTACCTCCTCCAGGAAGCCACCCCTGACTACTCCAGGGGACTGAGTCCACTGTTCTGTCACGTATTTGAGCATTGTCACGTATTTGAGGTGGTTGTAAGGTCTCAGAGGGCAGGAGCCATGTCTGTTTCATATCTTCCTATCTGTGCCCTCAGCACTTACCACAGGTTAGTCACACAGTAACGTCAAGAAAGAAAGAATGTGTGAAAAACAATGAAAGAGAATTGAAGTACTGTCCCTCCCCGCCCCTTCAACTCACCCTTACCAGAGGTTTTTGTTTTGTACATGCCCCTAGCAGGAACCGAACCCGGGACCCTCTGGTCCACAGGTTGAGGCTCCAACCGCTGAGCAAAACCTGCCAGGGTTTACCAGAGGTTTTATTGCTTCCCTGGCTTACCCTCCACCACAGAACTCCACTGGGCTGCCCTTGGCTCCTAGGAATTTGCCTCCACTCTCAGAGCAGGAGCTCCTTGAGAGCAAGGTAGGATCAGAATTCTCTCTGGGTCCCCAGCAAGGCCAGGCCTGAGACTACACATCTGCTCTCCCCTTCTCAAGGCTCTCCAGCCAACCTGGCCTCCAGGCAATTCCTACATTCTAAGTTGGTTCCCACCCCAGGGCCTTTGCACTTGCTGTTCTCACACCCTCAACTTATCTTCCACTATATCCTTTTCAGGTTCTTAGCGCAAATGTCTTCTCTTCAAGAATACATTCAAACCATCAGATCCACTAGCCTAATAGGTCTCTCTCTTTTTACTTTCTTCTTGGGACTGCTTGTTACCTGAAATAGTTTATCCATTTGTGTTTTTCCTACCTCCTGGCTGCATCAGGGCTTTTATGGTGACCAGTGGTTAGGGTTTTTGGAGCCTGGGTTCGAATGCCACACCTGCTGCCTGACTCTGAGCAAGTGACCCTCAGAGGTTCCGTGCTCCGTTTCCCCATCTATAAAATGGGTGGGAGTAATCGAGTCCCTCAGAGTAGTTGCGAGCATTAAACGAGTTAATATAGGCCCTTAGCACAGGGCCTGCCAGGTGTACGGGCTATTGATTGAAGGGTTGTTTTACTACCTAAATTTTTCTGGAGCCTAACATAAAGTAGGCGCTCAGTAAACATTTGTGGGAGGAATGAACACACATTGGCACTTGGCAGCTGTTGGGCTGCTAGGGAGCAGGGAAGAATTCAAGTTGCCCAACCCCTCAGCCCCCAACGCACTGCCCGCTCCGCAAAGAGAGTTGGGGGCCTGGGCAGGAAGGGCAGCGGGAGGGGCGCAGGGACCCGCTTCTATTCTGAGAACACCGGGGAACTACTGCGGGTTCTCCAGGGACTTGACCTCCAGCTGCTACGGGGAGACAGCGAGCAGGGGCCCCCAGAAAAGGTCAGCGGTGAGGCCTGGAGGGGCGGAGGGACAGCGACCGAGACGCAGACCGGCGCCCTCGGTGGGCGGGGCGGGGCGGTGCACGCAAATCTGGGGGCGGGCGCGGGGCGGGCCTGCAAGAGCGGAGTGGGAGGTCATGCCCCAGGAAAGTCCCACACTGCTCCGCCGCCACCCGGCTACCAGGGGGTCCCCACTTCTAGCTCTGGCGCCAGCTCGGCGAATGGATGGGAGCGCGCAGGTAGGACACGGGGTGCGCGGGGCGGAGGCAGGGGTTCACCCAAAGCCGGCGTCCGGGAAGTGCTGGGTCGCCAATGGGGCCAGGCGACAGGGACCCGGGACGCCCCGACCCACGCATGGGGAGCATCCGGCTCAGTGCACAGGGCCGCCGTGGCACGGAGCTGGGAAGGAAGGCTGGCCCCAGGTGCTCGGAAGCCCAGCGCCCCCAAACTCGTGTTGTCTGAGTTATCAATGGGGGCAGCCTCTAGGGTGCTTAGGAATGTGGAAAGCGTGGGGTGACACAGGTCTTGGGACACGCTGGCCCCCCTCTAGGCAGGCATCCCTGGCCTGCGCACCGGGAGTTGGTAAGTATTGTGGGGAGAGAAAGGGTGTGACAGTTCTGAAACTATACAGTTGGAAACGCCGTCTAAGAATCTGGGGAATCCCTGACCGTGTGGGTCAGCGGTTAGAGCATCCGCCTGGGGGCCAAAGAGTTGCGGGTTCATTCTGGTCAAGGGAACTTACATCGGTTGCTATTGAATCCCGGGCCTGGTCAGGGTAGTACAGGAGTCAGCCAACCATGTGTCTCTCTCACATTGATGTTTCTCTCTCTCCCTCCCTCCAACCTTCCCACTCTGTCTGAAAATCAATGGAAAAATATCCCCAGATGAGGATTTAAAAAACAAAAACAAAGAAATTTGTGGAAACAGGCCCTTTGCACCTTTGGCCTCCTTATTTGAACATTGTTGGGTGGACCCAATGCTAGGGACAGTTTTAGGCCGGCTCTTTGCTGAACACTGAAAGCATTCTGAGTTAAATCTCAACACGACCTTTCTGATTGGTACTCTTGCGTGTACCCCGCCATTGTCCAGCTTCGGGCACTTGGCACAGGCGAGGCCCACCGGGAAGGCAGGCTGCTGCTGGAGCCCGCCGCCCTCCCCCTGTGATGCTGTCTGTCAAACCACCCCACGCACGAATTCTCCAGGGGGTTTGATTGAACTGCAGATTCCCAGGCCCCCTTCCGTGAGCTTCCAATAAACCCAGGATTTAAAAACAAAATTATATGTTCTATAATCAGGAGAGACTGGGACCAGCGGACTGGTGGCCGGTGGTGGGGTTCACAGAATGCCCCGGGCCCGCACTGATCCTGCTTGAATCCTAGTCTCTGCCTGACCCCAGTCCTCTGTGAGCTGTGACCCCTGCACCTCCTCCCCTCTGCGTGGCCTCTTAGGAGCTGCAGCATTTGCTGGGATATTAGCACCTTTATTAAAATCCTAAAATCTGTTCGGGAAACTGAGGCTCAGGTGTCCATTTGGCCAGGGTGCCCTGCACAGTCAGGGGATCCTAGAGTCCTGCAAAGGCCCCTGAACCCGGCTAGTCCAACCTGTGACTAGAGGAGGAGGCTGAGGTGTGGACTGAGAGGGGCCAGCCCAGCCATTCCCTCCCTCCCCAGCTCTCACAGGCTCCTGCTGGGCGCTGCTCCGAGCGGCTCTGGGCACCCGGTGCTGTTCTGGGCACCGGTGTTTGCCCTGAGGAGGTCTCCCTCTGGGGAGGGGGGAGCACAGTAGGGGTGATCAGTTCTTCATGGGGCAGTGAGACAGGCTTCACGGAGCAAGGACCCTTGAGCCAGCCCAGGAAGAGGGGTAGAGAAATCCGGCAGGGGGAGGATGGGAGGGAAGGCATGCTGAGCAGTGGGAACAGCATGGACGAAGGCCGGGAACTGTGAAAGGTGTGCGTGTGGTGCCTGGGAGCCGGGAGAAGCAGAGAGGGATGGAAGGGCGGGCTTGGCCACGTAGAAGGTCTTGTATGCCATGCTGAGGAGTAGACCAGGTATCCTACCTCTGCCTGAGCTCTGAGAGTCACCATGCAGACTCCTGGCCCCACCCCAGCCTTTAGAGTTGACTCTGAAGGCAGCAGGGGAAAACCAATAGTGAGCGGCTCTGGTTACAACACACCCATTTACCGGCAGGTCTGGATGACCTGAGCATTTCCACATGCAGAGCAGTGACTCAGTACTGATGTGTTTTGTAAGCGTGACCCAGACTGCAGAAAGCCCAGGCAGGGGTGGAGGGTGTCCTTTAAGGCACAGTTTCCTGACGCTAGATTTAGAAAGGAGCTGAAGTGAGGTGTCAGAGAAGGGAGAAGAGAACCTTTCCTGGACCCTCCTCTCCTTATCCCTTCCCACCGCCCCCAGCCCAGGATGGAGGAGTTTGGGATCAAATAGCTCACTGCCCTCAGTTGCTTTCCTTGCCCCTGGGAGAGGGGTTGGGACTGAAGGCCCCTCGTGCTTTGTTTCCTGTTTGTAAAACTGGGCATCATGTTTTATAAGATACTTAACACAATTTCCAACACATATTATGTCCACAATAAGCATTCATGTCTCTTTGTTACTGTCAAGAAGTATATTGCCCTGGCCAGTTTGGCTCCGTGGCTAGAGCATCGGCCTGCGGACTAAAGTCTTGCAGGTTTGATTCCCAATCAAGGGCACTCTCACATTGATGTTTCTCTCTCTCTCTCCCTCCCTCCTTTCCACTCTATCTAAAAGTCAATGAAAAAATATCCTCAGGTGAGGATTAACAACAACAACAACAACAACAACAAAACGTAAAGCTGGACCAGCCAGTATGGCTCAGTGGTTGAGCACTGACCCATGCACCAAGAGGTCACCGGTTCGATTCCTGGTCAGGGCACATGCCCAGGTTGTGGGCCAGATCCCCAGTGGAGGGCATGCAGGAGGCAGCCAATTGATGTTCTCTCTCATCGATGTTTCTATCTCTCTCTCCTTCTCCCTTTCTCTCTCTCTAAAACCAATAGAGAAAAAAGAAAAAAAAAAGTAGAGCCTTGAGCTTCCGAGCATGGACTCTGGAACTACATTGCCCCGTACAGAGGCTGGCTTTGCTACTTACTAAGTTGCAAAGTACTTCTCAGGACCTTAGTTTCCCCATTTGTGAAATTATGATTACTCTATACTGTTGTGATGATTATGAAATGAATTAATAAGTGTCAAGCACACAGAACAATGCCGGGTACAAAGTGAGCAATATGTATTTGTTAAAGAAAGAAATGAACCCCATTGGATGGGGTTTAGTCTACCCATTTGCAGGTGAGGAAACTGAGAATCAGAGATGTGTGCAGTGGCCTTGCCTGAGGTCCCATGTCTAGGAGAGACAGAAGGAGGGATTCGAACCTGCTTTCCTCCCCAGCCTGTGTTCTTTCCCACTGTCCCAGTTTGCTGGGGTGACCCAGAGGGACATCTTTCCCGGCATTCCTCATGGCTGGCACTGTGGAGACATGCCTGGTCACGTTTGGCCAGACTTCCCTTGGCTAGTCTAGAAGAGAGGCCATCGACTTGCCTGGATGTGGACGCACCTGCCCTTCCACGAGTGTGGGTGGGAGGACCCAGCCGTGGCTGGAGGGTCCCGTAGGAGCCAGCAGGAGAGGGGCCGTGCTCCCGTTGCTTTGTTGTGTGACTTGCAGCAAGTCATTCTGCTTCTCTGGGCTGGAGGCACAGAGAAGGGCACAGGCTTGAAGACCGGGGCCCCACGTTCAGATGTGAGCTTGCTGCTTCCTATCTGTGATCTGGAGGCAATTGCTTAACTTCTCTGAACCTCAGTGTGCTTGTCAATAAAATGGGTATGGGGGTGTTCATGAGATAATTCTTACAGGCACCTTGCCCATGGCTCAGTGGTTGCAGCTTCTCTCCCCATTTAGGACAGAGCCATTTCTCCATATCAACACCTGGCTTCCTCATTCATTTCTTCCTCAAATATGTACTGAGCACTCACCTGTGCCAGGCACGGTGCCAGGTGTACTGACAGAGCACTGGACAGAGTCCCTGCCCTCCTGGGGTTTAACTTCTAGTTGAGAAGCCAAACATACACATACTGACCCACAGCCCTTACTGCGGTTCCGAAATCCTCGGGCTCGGAAACCGGAGCTTCCTCACCACCCGGCTGGGAGCACGACCTGCCCTGGGCCAGGCTTTGCGTTGGGGCCTCTCCTTCTCCTCCTGGGAGAGCGGCTGTCCTGCAGCGATGACGTGCGAAGCGTCGGTGCTGCCCTGGCCGCCTGGGGGTGCGGGTGCTTCCCTCGGCTGGTAGTTTGCACAAGGTGACCCTTGTATCCTCAGTGATTCTGGACACGAAACCCGCCTGGCCCCAGGATTGTGCACAGAGAACGTGGACCTGCGAGATGCTGCCAGGCAGTGGCGTGCTGGGAGGAAGAGGAGCAGGGTGAGGGCGGGGCCGGGGCCTCTGAGGGCCATCAGGAAGACAGGGCCGAGGCCTGGCAGAACCGGCTGGGACAGCGGGCCTTGTCCATCCACTGACCCTTCTGGCCGCTGCCCCGCTGCTCGCCGCTCGGCGCGCCGCTGTCTCTGCGTCTGTGTCTTTCCAGGAAGCGCTGGTGCCTCTGAGGTTCGGGTTGGCTCCGCCCAGCTCCTTCTCCCTCTGGGGCCTCCATGGGCCTCCTCGCTTCAGGGTTGCTTAAGAAGCCCAGGGTCTTGGCTAAAGCAGGCCTGGGTGCTGGGACTTGCTGGGTCCATCACCAGCTGGGCAGGCATCTGAGTCCCCTTCTCCTCCCTCTGTGGGAAGAGGGAGGATGTGGGTCCTGGTGAGAACAAGAGTTTGGTGGACAGGTTTCCTGAGGGAGGGTGTGTAGCTCTGAGCAGAGGACTTATCGAGGGACCAGCAGCCTCCAGCCTGCAGGGCAGCCTACAAGCTGAATGGACCGTGTCCTGAGTGCCAGCACTGGGCTCCGGCTCACATTCACTCAGCAAACATGCCAGGGCTGGGACTCAGCAGTCAAGCGAGCCCTGGTGGATCCGACAGTCTTGGGGGGAGGCGACTCCAAAGAGGTGACTTTGGGGCTAAGACCTGAAGTAAAAAGACATGTGGTTATCTGGGAAAAGAGTGGTCCTGGCAGAGAACAGCAAGTGCAAAGGCCCTGAGGTGGGAGGAAACAGGCTTGGTGGTTTCAGCCACAACAAGGAAGAAGATGCGGTTGGATGGGATTGAGCAAGGCGAAGAGGGGCAGGGACACGGAGGTAAACAGTAGCAGGTACCCTACATTATCTCATTTGGCTTGTAGGGCAACCCTACAAAGCAGGAACGGCTCTTCTCCAGATTTTACAGATGAAGAAACAGGCACAGAATGGTCTAGTAACATGCCCAGGGCCACAGCGGGAAGGTGGCAGAGCAGGGCTGGGAACCTACAGCTCCAGAGTCCTCAGTCCTCACCGCTGTGTTTAACATCATGGAAACTGGGCTCAGGTGCTGAAGGCCCACCTGCTGCTTTGAACATTGCTGGTGTGCTCGCCTGCTGTGGGTCAGCCCAGCAACCTCGTGGATGTGGTCAGGCCAGGACTGGCATTACGGATGATTCAGTCACTGTGAATCATTTTACAGATCATTTTACTGATCACCTTCCCCTGGGTCAGACAGTGAGGACATATCAAAGCAGAGGAGGTGTGGGGTGGGGGGAACCGGATGAGTAGAGGCCCAATTCCACATCAGGCACTGTGCTGGGGGGAGGCAGATAGATGACTGAGTGCCTCCCCATTTCCCTGAGGCTAAAGGTAGAGACTTACCAGTGACACAAGTCGGAAGGGGTAGAGTCTGGATTCAAACCCAGGGCTGCTGACCAGGAAGTCTTTGACTTGCACTTACCCACTGTTCTGAGCCATGCCCCATGAGGAGCAGAGTAAGAGACCTGAGTTTCTTGGTCAGAGATAAGGGAGCACAGCCACTGAGAACATTTTGGAGAGTGGGGGGAGGTCTGAGGTTCTCCTGGAACAGCCAGGAAGTGTTCTGCCTTTTCAGAAGAGGATGTGAACTTCTCTGGAGAGAAGAGACACCAGATCTCCGGGCTGGCAGCCCTCCGAGCCCACAGAGTCATGGCCCCCTGACAGTCTTGCCTGCAGTGATGGAGCATAAGCCTTCCAGAAGCAATTCCACAGCTGGACAGCTCTGACTGGGAGAAGAGCCTTCCTGAGATTTAGCCAAAGTAGGTTTCTAAGAGCTTTTTCAGTTTCTGGCTCTGGTTCTGTCCCTTGGAGATGGTAACCATTACCCTCCAACAACTACCCAATATTTCTCTTTCTCAGACTATACAGCCATAGCTCTTTTAATTATACTTCTTGACTCAGGGAATTGTGAAGAGTTCAGTGGCTCTAGATGTGATCCAGTTGGTCAGAGTCCAATATAAAACTTTTTACTTCCCCCAAAGCCTGCCCAGTCAGAGAGGAGAGAGACTATCACCTCCTTGGATCTGGAGCCCATACCTCTGTTGATACAACCTGCAATCATACTTTGTAGCAGCCATGTCCCACTTGGGGCTCATATTGGGCTTGTCAGTTTAAACCTCCAGGTTTCTCTTCTACATGAGCTGCTATAAAAGTTTCTTCCATTCTGAGATTCCTTGTTTGAGGCTAATAATTATCAATCTTTCTTAACTTCTAATAAGAAATTAAATGGCTATCCTTTTTTCTCTGAATACTGTTTTGGTTTCATTCTACAGGTCTTGTTACACAATGTCATTCACTGCTAAAATAGTTTACAATTTCCCTTTTGTCTAAAAGTATATGTGCTTTTAAGATGTTTTAAGGTGGATGGAATTTTTGAACATTTTTTACTGCTGATTTCTATATTTATTGCATTATGGTCAATATTTGTGGCTTCTAGGATATCAAGATGGAGAATTTGTTCAGATTTTTTTTGCAAGATTTTCTGGTTAATTTTTCGGTGTGACCCTCTTGCATTTGAAAGGGAGTATATTTTTCTACTGGCTGTACAGTTCTAGAAATATATTTATTAGTGCAAGCTTCCTAACTGTAGCATTTACATTGTCTATATTTTTGTGTGTTTTTGTCTACCTGATTTATCTCCCCTTGTGATAAAGGATCATCTGTTCTTTTCTCTTTGGCCTTCTCTTGTATTTTGCGTTCTTTTAAAGGCTGTTATTAGGTGCATATATATAGAAAACACATGAACAGGAGAAGGGTTTATGATTGTTATACCTTCTTGGTCAATTGCTCTATTTATCAGTATAAAACAGCCACCTTTCTCTCATTTAATACTTTGCTGCCTTGAATTCTGTTTATTCGGTATTTATATCCCTATACTTACTATTTTTATTTGCATTTTTCTTGACTAATTTTATAATTCTTTGTTTTCTTTTCTTTAGCTCTAAAGTTGTAGGACTATTATTTGACCCCAGTCTGGTGGCCAGATGAATTTAAAAGAAAACAAAACTTGCATCTCAGTCTCAGCTCTGCAACCCACTTGCTTAGTAATCTTAGACAAGTCATTTCCCTGTTTGGGACTCAATTTCTTCACCCATAAAATGAGGATATGGCCTGCTTTTGCCCTTCTCTCTAGGTTTTTGTGAAAATGACTATGATAGTGAATGTGAAAGATATGGCGAGCATCCCTGTACACATATTGGCCATTGGGTGTAAATATTGGACAGCATTCCAGGAATTAAGAATGGCACATGCAAAGGCCCAGAGATGGGAAAGCACCCACAATGACTTCAGTTTGGCCACCTTTGGTTGGCTGCCTCCTCTGTTCACAAAGGGACATGAGTGTGACCCGTCCCTGGCTGGCCTGGAGGACCTTTCAGTCTGGACAGGTTGTAGCGAGCTGCTTCACAGAAGGGTTTGCGGGACAGAGGGACAGGCAGAGCGCTGAGGTGGGCTGAGGAAAGAGCAGGGTTTGACCAGGAATGTCCTGAGTGGTGGCACAGGAGGAGGCCACTGAGGCAGAGCAACCAGCCCAAGCGAAGTGTGCAAGTGGGGGAGTTTGTGGCATGTTTGGGGACAGGTGGGCAGGATAGGAGAGTACAGGATGTGTAAGGACCGCTCTTGGCCCCTGTCCTCCCGCACTGAGGAGGAAGGCAGTGGGGCTTGCAGAATTTTTGGAATCCTCACTGACACTCGTGCTTCCCTCCTTTCTCATCACCAGAGCAACCAGCATCCCATAGTGTTCAAGAGGTAATAGGGTCAGAAGGCAGGGGACATTTGAAAAACAGCCTTTCACTTTTGGGGTTGCTGGTGCTTGGGGAAGGGGTGGGGGTCTCACCTGTTGCTCCCTTCCACGTGGGGTCTCCTGGCATCTCAGGACACCTACCTAGTAGGACACCAGCTTTGTAAGCCAAAAAGGGACCACAAAGGTGGGGTGTAGTTTTTAAAAATTGAACTCTTTTCCAACACTTAAACATCAGGATAATAAGCGTAAAAATCTGAATTTCTGGTTGCTTTGGAAAAATCAAAAGACCTTCAATTTCACATGGCAGAAACTGCTGAGACAGTGTGGCAGCTGCCCTTTGGGACTGGGCATGTGCTCACTACTTGTCCCCTCTCTACTCATTGAGGTCATGCAACTGAGTTCTCTAGGTATTTGTGTTTACTCTGGAGGAGGTGACTCTGGCCATGACGCAGGTGGCTGAGGGCTGGGAGTGGCCCCGAGGCAGTGAGTGCCTTGTGCTGGAGGCAGGTAAGCAGAGGGCCCCTTGTAAAGGCCTAGGGGGACCCGAAGTAGCATTGAGAGTGGACTAGGGTCTTAGGGTCTTCCAGCCCTGAGGATGAACGCTTCTGAGATCTTTGTTGACACACCCCAGTACCCTAGACGGCACACTCCCGTCTCTTCCCTCCCATCCATCTTTTTTCCTTTTTATTGCAACATACGTGCAGACAAGTGCACAGCTTCTTTCATTTCACAAAGTGAACACATGCATGCAGAACCCAATCAAGAAACAAAGCATGACCAGCTCCCTAGAAGGGTCCCTCCTGCCCCCAACTCCAAGGACACTATCTCGACTTGTGTCCCCAAGATCACCTTGTCTCCTTGAACTCTGTGTCAGTGGAAGCAGTACTGCCCTCTCAGCTCGTGGCTGTGAGACCTGTGTCGTCGTCGCAGCAGCCGCCATCTACTCAGGGTCTCAGAGTTCCCTCGGTGCTTGGAGCCGAGTCTGGCCACCTGCTCCACCAGCACTGTCCGAGCCTCTTCCCCCAGCCGTGGTCTCTGCCTCCCTGCAACCATCCCTGAGCAAGTGGTTCTGCCCCACCTTCCAGATGAGGAGACTGAGGCTCTGAGAGGACCCCCGCTTGCCAAGGTCTCCCAGACAGTCAGGGTGGGGCCCGCACACTTAGGCCCGGGATTATGCTCCGTGTCTCAGATGCCCTGGAGTCCCTGACACCATGAGAGGCCCCACGTGTCTGCGTGTCCCTGACTGACAGGAATGATCTGGGCTGAGACAACAGGAAGAACTTGAGGGAGAGCTCCCCCCCCAGCCCCCCGCCTGCAGACAGAAGATGAACAGGGAGCTCTTGTCTGTGCTGATGTGCTACCTGCTTGGGTTTGTCCGGGGGCAAAGTCCTGGCCACTGTCAAGACAAGTTCACTGGTGAGGACTGCAAACAGGATGGAGGCCAAGTTCTGTCTCGGTCGCTTCCTGGGACTATTTCTGAACCCCTGTGAGCCCTGGTTGCCCCTCTGTGCAGGGGGGGTTTGGCTGCGTGTTTCACGGGGGGCTGGCCGGAGGAGCAGGACCAAGCTGATGGCCGCTTCTCTGTGGCAGGCGCTGTGCTGTGGACTCCAGAGCCCGCAGGTCTGGGCTCAGATCAGCCCCACTGCTTACCAGCTGCGCATCCTTAGGCAGGTTTCTGAACCTTCCTGGGCCCGGTTTCCCTGTGTCTGCAACAGGGATGAGAATAACAGCCAGCACCTGCCCTGTTCCTTGGGTTGGGGAGGGTGGAACCCATGGTCTCTAATGGTTCTAAGGACTGGGGACTCGCAGGGGCAATTGTGGTGACTTCTGCGGACCTCTGGAAGGAGGCCCACTAGGAGCCGTGACACTCACTAACCGCCCAGATCTAATCAGTGCCCGAGGCCTGACGTCATGCTCTTCAGGGAAATGACTAATGATCATGGTAATGCCCCAATTACTAGCTCCCTGGAGGTTAGCCCTCCTGGGTGGCCCATCCGCACCTGCATTAGGGTATTAAGGGGACTCCAAGCCAGAAGTGAGCAGTGTTTTCCAGCAGTGAGGTGACAAATGCCAGCTGACCAGGCGGCCTGCAAACAGCTGGTGGGCTTGGTTCATTCATTCTTCCATTCAGCAAGTATCTGGGGACCCTGCTGTGCTGGGCATCGGCCTGGCACTGGGACCCCAGCGGGAAGGTGTGGACACAGGCTGTGGCCTGTGGGGGCCGGCGTTCCGTGGGTGTGTGGACAATGAACGGGAAGGGTGCGTGTGTACTGCTGCAGGGAGTAAGTGCCGTGCAGAGGAATAGAGCAAGAGAAGGGCTGGTGGAGTGATGGAGTCGGCTGTGCTCCCGAGCAGGTGTCAGGACTTGGTCCCTCAGGTCAGCCTCCTCCCTGGGGCCTCCGGTGCCTTCTGCCCGAGGCTGTGGCTTCTAGAATCCTAGATGGAGTCACCCGTGCCTCCCCAGAGCCCCACTGGCTGTTTGGACTCAACGTGTCCACAGCCAACACAAGTGTACACATTGCCATAAAGTGGCCATTGGCCCAAGATCCATTCTGTCCCCAAGATGGGGGCCTCTCTCCAGGGGGTCTGGCCCGGCCTGGTCCCGTGAAGGAGATCACAGTCTCCAGCCCTCTCCTATCCCTCTCGAAGTCATGTCTTATTCTTGCAGCTGGTGACCCTCAAATCTGTCTCCAGCTGAGCTTTCCTCCTGAGTCCAGGCCACTAGGACATCTGGTCTCCTGGATGGCTCCGGGCCCACTGCCCATGTGAAGTCACCGTGTCTGAGGTGCAGCGGATGCGTGGTCTCCCCCAGCAAGCCTGCTCCCCTTCCCGCCCAAGGCCGCCTCCCCACTCCCAGCTGCCCACAGCGGCCGGCACCAAGCTCTGCATGTCCACTCCCAGACAGGGCTGGAGTCTGCCCTCTTCTGCAGCTCCGGCAGCACGTCCTCTGCAGACACCTCCTTCCCGCCTGCGTCCTCCGCGCACACCTCCCAGCTGAATATCGTTCAGTGGCTCCCT